GGTGTTATACGCAAACAATGAATCATGGAACACTACATCAAAAACTAATGATGTAATGTATGGTGATTAACATAACATAATAATAAAAAAAGAGGCTATTTTAATGTTAAATAAATAAACAAATAAATAAATAAATAATAAATAAAAATATATAAATGTACAAGCAAGAGAAATAAGGCATCTAGCAATTTAGTCTTTGGCTCTGAGCTTCATGGAAGCCAAACAAACACAAACAAACCAAAAATCACTATCTGATACAGTTCATGGTGCCTGAGTTAGAAAACACATAAATGTCAAGAGACAAACTTTAGCGCTCAGTGCAGGGAACATTCATAACATGCAACCACATCTTTGGGAAACCACAAAATGAACTTCTTCAACTACATTTTGGTAAATCATGCAAAGTGAGTTTTATTGAACAATTCCAATAAAAGTCAAGAGCATAAAATCAAAGATTGCCTGAGTAAGGGGAGCCAAATGATTTAACGACCATGTATCTTTACATAGTTATTTTGTGGTCTTTTCTTACCTGATCCCATGCAAGCTTTCAGTGTCTCTCGGGCGCCTTCCATCTAAACTTCAAGGCACTAAACAGTTGTCTCTTACCATCCTTCCCAATCTCAGCTCTCTCTCTCCCCCCACAGGTACCTTCTGGTGTCATCAAACTTCCTGCATTCTGTTCCTCACATTCCCAACTCTGATCCTTTACTCACATCTCTCCCTTACCTGTAATTCACTCTCTTCACCTCCCGACTTCACCAACCTCTACCTTTCCTTCAAAACACAGCTAAATTGCCACCTCTTCCATAAAGACATCAGCCAGACAGGTGCCTGCTACTTTACTGTCATGTGTGTGGCCTTGTGGGAGAACATCTGCAGAAGGTAGAACAGTGCCTTCCCACAAGGATACCCATGTTCAAGTCCCAGAACTCGCCAATAAGTTAGGTTCCATGGCAAAGGGAAGTAAAGGCTGTAGATAGAATTAAGGTTGGTAATCAGTTGACCTTGAGATGGGGAGATTATCCTGGATTAGTGAGTAGGCCCAGTGTAATCACGAGGGTAAGATAAGAAGGAGGCAGGCAAGGATTCGGTCGGCTGCGCTATGGCAGCGATCCCCCCAGACTCCTGGCAGCCGCCCAACATATACTTGGAGACCAGAATGGGGATCATTGTGCTGGAGTTATACTGGAAGCATGCTCCGAAGACCTGTAAAAATCTTGCTGAATTGGTACGTCGAGGTTACTACAATGGCACCAAATTTCACAGGATCATCAAAGACTTCATGATCCAGGGAGGTGACCCAACAGGGACAGGTCGGGGTGGTGCATCTATCTATGGCAAGCAGTTTGAGGATGAATTTCATCCAGACCTGAGATTCACGGGGGCTGGAATTCTCACCATGGCCAATGCGGAGCCAGACACCAACGGCAGCCAGTTTTTCGCGACCCTAGCCCCCACCCAGTGGCTCGACGGCAAGCACACCATTTTTGGCCAAGTGTGCCAGGGCATAGGAATGGTGAATCGAGTAGGAATGGTGGAAACAAACCCCCAGGACCGCCCTATGGACGATGTGAAGATCATTAAGGCGTACCCTTCTGGGTAGGCTTGCTGCTGCCCTGCGCTCACCCAGATCTTCGGAGATGGCCCCAGTGAACCAGCTTCCAGATCTAGAAGGACACGTACTTAAACTCCATTTTGGCCTTGCAAGTCACAGAGCTCAGGAGACCTGGGGGATTGGGTGAGTAAGAGATGGAAGTATATTTTAAGAGGATGCTTCTTTTCTCTTCCCCCGGTGCCTAGGTTGACAGAGCATTTGCAGAAATGCTCATAAATGATCATTCACGGGGAACCGCTCATTGCAAGTGAGCATACTGCCCCTCCTGGCGTGTGTCTGTGCTGATACACTTGGAACAAAATGAAGCCGACTCTGTCATTCCATAGTGCCTGACCAAACTTCTTCCTGCAGAGATTTATATTCTGGCCTACACTGCAGTCTTCAGTGTCTGACAGCCACAGAATTCAAAACCAAGTAGTGTCTATCAGCCTTCTTAACTCTGTGCACACCCTATTTCAGTCTCCTATATTTGTTCTTCCAGGAATGTATGCATCTCTATATATACTTTCCCTCTCAAAATCAGAACATCAACACTGCTGTTTCTGACACTTAGACATCCCAAGCAAAGCCACGTTGAATTTTTGCCAAATGAAAAATGCATCCAGCAATCAAGTTTCTAAGAAGGTGTCAAGTGGGGAATGATAATGTGTAATAATCAAGAAAGGAATTTATTAAAAGGAAGCAGAAACATTGACCATTTTTTCCCCAGGAAGGAGTAGAAATCTGTAGTGAGCCATAAAGACAGACTATGAATTCTCCTGAAAAAGCAGTATTGTCATAAAGGAGAGGCACCACTTAAGTTTTTTTAACCTAAGACTAGAGAAACTAGTTAAGAGATTTTATATGTTTTTTAAGTCTTTCTGATTTTTTTTTAATGGGGTAAAGAGAAAGGAACATCTATGTAATACATAGAAACTTCCCAAATAAAATGCCACTGATGGTTTAAAAAAAAAAAAAGATAAGAAGGAGGCAGAAGAGAGACCAGAGAGATGGCATCATGAGAAATATTTGGCCCTATGTTCCTGGCTTTAAAGATGGAGGCAGGGACTGCAAGCCAAAAATGCCTGGTCACTAGCAGTTGGAAATGGCAAGAAATGGGATTCTCCCCTAGAAACTCCAGAAGGAATGCAGCCCTGCCGACATACTGATTTTAGCCCAGTGAGATCCGTTTTGAACTTCTGACCTCTAGGCCCTGTAAAACAATACACTAATTTGGTGGTAGTTTGATGCAGCAGTAATAGGAAACTAAAACAGGGGCGCCTGGGTGGCTCAGTCGGTTGAGCGTCTGAATCCTGATCTCAGCTCAGGTCTTGGTCTCAGAGTCATGGGTTCAGGCCCCATGTTGGGCTCCATGCTGTGTGTGGAACCTACTTTAAAAAAAAAAAAAATAGGAAACCAAAACCACATCCAACTGTGGGAGCAAAGGGGGTGCTTCCAGTCACAATACCACAGACCCACATTCACCCCCAAACCAGCTCTATTTTGAGGCTGTCTACTTCTCCTATCCAATACCTCACTTCATGTGACTTCTGTGTTCTCCAACCCATCTCTCTGTGGCCACCATCTAATGGAAACCTACCATACTATCTACCAGCTTATGGCTTGTCTCCTATCTCCAGCTTGAGTATTGATCCAACCATGAATGTGATGAATCGGATACTCTTAGGAATGGCTGATCTGGTCTGGCCACTAAGGACTATGCTGGTATCTACCACCATGTGGCTAATTCTGCCAGTTCATTTTGGGCATGCCAATGGCATCCATAGCTGAGAATGTGGCCTCCCTATGCCAGCATCAGGCCTCCTCAGCCCATCACTTTTCTAGCACTTGCATGACCCATCGCCCCGACCCTGAAGCCCTCAGGAAACTCTGATTCCCTGGACATTACGTGTGGACCCTGGAGAACTGGTAACTGCCTCAGGACCAGCTCTACGGACACTTCTCTAGCCATTTCTAGTCTACATTCTTCCCCCAGCCAGCACCATGTTATCAGGCACCACAGTGAAAGTGGAACATTTTTAAGGGTCTTACAATTGTCTCAGGCTATAACTTGAGAATGTAGAATAAGGAAGACGTTTCCTGCACTAGGTTTTTCCCAAACCCCTCTGGGTGCTTCTTCTCTCTACCCCCAAATTCTGTCCTCCTACACCAGAAGAGTCTTTCGTCCTTCTCTGTCTATATGAAAGGAATGACCTCAAAAATATTGACCCTCTTACATCTATACCCAGCTAGACTATAACATCCCTGATTGCAAGAATTCACCTTCATGTGCTTAGTCCCCACCTAATGTCTGACATTCAGTAGGCACTGATGCATGTTGAAATGCATCTGAATTAAATAAACTGAATTATATTGAATTGAGGAATGGTGATATAGGCCTGGGAGCTACAAATGAAAGAGGAGCTTCAAGGTCCCAATATAATGACGTGTGTGTGTGCACGCATGCACCAGGGGAATGGGGTTGTGACTTCTATCTACTGCCTGGTATAAACTTCCTAAGAGGATCTGTGAATTCAACGGGTTGCCATCCCTTTTTTTCCTGCAGATCCCGAGGCAGCAGTATAAGCATGACACTCAAAGAGGTCCAGACTTAAAACTCTAAGCTGTATTCATTATGACTCAAACACCTCTGGGTATGAAAGGATGGTTGGTGGGGCAAACCTTCCAAGGGTCAGTTTGCTAGAAGCACTAAGGAGTCTCCTGAGACATATCCATTCCAAGGGAAGGAGGTGTTGAAGGGAACAAGTCTGAGCTAAAGAGAATAATGAGTCGGGAAAGGAGGGGCAATTTTGAGCACAGGACAATGGCTGTCCTTCAGCTCATTGTCTAGTCCAGTCCTTGTGGATTCATGCCAGAAACCAAGATGAAGGACACTGCACACTACATTAAAGAATAACTTTTAACAGGAGATACTTTACTTTTTAAAAAATTAAATATATATATATATATACACAAACACACACACATTTGTGTGTGTGTGTTTATTTAAATAAATATATTTAGGATAAAGTTGGTACTCTAGAGATTAAAGGAAAGTTTGAGTTCTATATAGGGAGATCATATATCCCAGTTTTCTCAGAAAAATCCAAGTTTATACCTATTGTCTCAGCATGAAAACTTCTTCCCTCTCCCAGCTGAATTTTAAAGATTTTTTTTTATTTATTCATTTGAGACACAGAGATACAGAGAGAGAGAGAGAGAGAGCATGAGCAGGGAGAGAGGCAGAGGGAGAGGGAGAAGCAGGCTCCCTGCTGAGCAGGAAGCCCGATGCGGGGCTCGATCCCAGGACGCTGGGATCATGACCTGAGCCGAAGGCAGACGCTTAACCATCTGAGCCACCCAGGCGCCCCTCCCAGCTGAATTTTAAAGTGTCCCAGTTCAGATAATAAATTATATGATCACCCTGGTTCTAAGGATTCTGTTGAGATAAATTTAGCTAACTCGCACACTCATTTTCTAACACATCATGTCCATGTGTTCATAAAGGGAACCTCTTATTGGAAAACACTGTAGAACAAGGAGAACAAGAAAAAGGAACAGGAACAAGTCCCATTTTTATGAGACTAGAAGACATCTGTAAATCAGAACCACAACAGATGAATCCAGAAAGCAGAAAGAGGAGCACTCTTAGCAGGACAGAGTAAAGTAAAACCCAAGTCTTCAAAGGGAAAAACCAATGAGGAATGAACTAACTTACCTAAAGAGCCCAAGAGAGACTAAAAACTGGAGTCACCAAGTGCCACCAAGGCAAGAGTAAAACCGTCACTGTACTGTGAAGCAATTAACCTCCTGCAGCCCATTGGGAGATAGGTGAAGATTCTCTGGATGGAGTGAATCAAACTGGCTCCATTTCAGGGACACCAGGCACAGAGGAAGGTGTGCATGAGATGCTAAACTCAAATCAGGAAGAATTAACTGAACACTGTATTCTGACGGTGAGACCTGCAGCCTTCTCCCTTATTCCAGCTTTAGAACACTGTTATCTAATTTTATATTCCTCAAGAAGATTTAAGAAAATAAACACCATCAGAAGAGAAAAAAAGACCTACAAATAATGACATTTGGGGGTAATCTGGCTGGCCAACAAATTTTCCTACATGAAAGCCAGAGAAGTCAACAGGACCAGACCAAGCCTAATTACCTTTTTAGTGCCTCGTTCTTAAATATGAATGGACACCAGACATTTGGAGGCAGCTGGAAACTTGAAAGATACAGGCAAAAGCAAACAGGAAGAAAGAAGTTAGAAAAAGAAAAAGAAAACAAAATAAAACAAAAAATTTAAGGAAGTTATAATTATGACTGCAGAGAATGAAGACAGATAGTCTGCTATCTTCTTAAAGAAAATAATCAGAGACCAATAATAAACTCTTAAAAATTAAATATTATATCTAGTTTCCTTAAAATATTCAACAAAAAGGATGAAGAGATGGACACTAGGAAAAGAAAGATAATAAAAGTAGAGGATCAATCCAAGAGGCCTAATATCTGCCTAATAGGAATTCCAAAAAGAAAGAACAGAAAAAAATGGTGGGGAAAATTATTTCAAAGAAATACTACAAGTAAATTTTCCAGGACTGAAGGACACAACTGTTTTGATAAAAAGAGCCCACCAGGACACCTGGGTGGCTCAGTTGGTTAAGCATCTGCCTTTGGCTCAGGTCATGATCCCAGGGTCCTGGGATCAAGTCCCACATCAGGCTCCCTGCTCA